TGGGCCCCCAGGAAGCAGCAGACTTCCCAGGCTAAGGGTTCAGGGCGGAAGATTGCCCCCTCAGTCCCCCTCAGGATGAAAAGTTGTGTAGGTGTTTTTTGATTTTTGTTTTGTTGATAAAGGTAGGATTTTAGTAAAGCAGAATGTGTATTTCTGATGTATTTTGTGGTGCTTGGAAGTCATTCTAGAAATGCTGTCATTGAAAAATCTTTAGCCTTGCTCCTCTCATCATATAAAACTTTCTCTAAATTTATATTCAAGTATTTAAAGGGAAGTTAAGTACTTAAATCAGGGGAAATTTAGGTTAGATATTAGGAAGAACTTTGTTACTAGGAGGGTAGTAAAACACTGAAACAGGTTATCTAGAGAGGTTATGGACTCTCCATCCTTGGAGGTTTTTAAGGCCCAGTTAGACAAAGCCCTGACTGGGATGATTTAGTTGGGGATGGTCCTGCTTTGATCACGGGGTTGGACTAGATGACCTCCTGAGGTCCCTTGCAACCCTAATTTTCTATGATTCTGATTTATACTCTGATTAGGAATTGTAGTATTTTAAGTATAAGTTATGTAGGTAACTAAATCATAAGATTTTTAAAAATTCTATTTCAAATTACAGGTCACCCATGCCCATTAATGTTGTAGAAGGTATTTCCTTGACCCCTGTATAACTTCCATGCTCAGGGGATTTTAGTGCAATGAAGTGAATAGCTTCTGTGGGCCCTGACAGATGTGGGGAGAAAAATAAAAAATGCACTTTACAGGAAGTAGCAGCACGTTACTTTGACCCAACTCTGCAGCTTCTATATTGGTTGGGTGCTTCAGCAGGGCTTTTTAGCGCTTTTCTCTAATAGCTGATTGAATCAGCTATTAGATGAAAGTGCCAAACATCCCCGCTGAAGTGCCCAATCTATACAGACATTAAAAAAGCCCGTTGCAACTGATGCGCTGCCTCTTCTGGGCGTGTGCTGGACTTGGCATGGGAGCATGTCAAGTTTAAAGTAAAAAGCTGTTTTGTTTTGTTTTGTTTTTCTCGACATCTGCGAGTAGCCTGTGAGGCCACTGTTTTTCCTCCTGAAGCTGGGACAGGGAATAAGAGGAGTCTTGGCTTTACCCCTTTGGTGTAACAACCATCTCGACAGAACATAGGAGTGGGGTTTTTTTCTCGCCTTTATTTGGAATTGGTTCTTTGGAGTTGGTTTACAGCCTAGTCCTTAATTGTATGTTGAAGTAATATGAACCGAAAGATTCAATCAAATCTACTCAGAATTACAATTTCGGGAGAAAGAGTAATGAACATGCATTTATCCCTAAATCAGCAGAATTGCACAGTTGTTTTCTTTTTTCCTTATTACTTTCTCAGCTGTAAATTCATATATCAGCCATTTTTTATTTCCATTAATATACAAAGTATGCCTTTAAAGTAGTTTGTTCTGCTTGTATTGATATGAAAACTTTTCTTCTAGCCATGATTTCATCGGAGAATTCACAACAAGTTATAGAGAATTGTCTAGAGGGCAATCACAGTTCAATGTATATGAGGTAACCATTTTGAATTTTTTTTTTATTATTTTGAGGAAACTGATATAATATTTGGAATTGAATTCATGTTTCTATTTTGGCCTGTCAAATTGAGCAAACTTTAAAATCAACTCAGAGTTATGCTATTATAAAAAATCCCCCAAAACACCAAAAAACAGAAGCTAAAAAGACTCGTTCAGTAATGTTTTTAAAAGCCATTGTTTTTTGCACAAGAGCAATATCATCATTCCTGTTCTGATAAAATTAACAAGAATTATTTTTCTTTTGTTTGATAGTTCTATTATTGTGTATTATTATTTTCAATACAAAAGAGTTTTAATGAGTATGCGTAGCAAATAGAGCACCCCTAAAATGCCTAGTTTAATTAAAAATAGTGTGACCTTTGTAACCTCAATTTAGTATTTTATATCAGTTTTTACACTAGATTTGGTATGTCCCATAACACTTTGGAAACCACCATATAAAAGGTGTCTTGGTTTCTGGAATTTGATGTGTATGTTTCAGGAGTGGGCAGAGCATACATCTTGGCATCATTTCTAGACTTGATGTGGAGACTGTAACCACTACCAATTGTGGGCCATCAAATGGTCCCAGCACAAAGGGCACCTACACACATGCCCGACACCTCCAGCAGCCTTAGTGTCTCATGTATTCAGCATCCCTGCGCTTCAGAATGGCAGTGTGGGCACTTTAACTAAAGCTTGTTGAACTAAAGCTTGCTGAATACACAAGATGCTGCGGGTGTTTTAATCAGAGTGGCTTCCAAAACCTGCGCTAATTAAAGCGCCCACCCAGGAGCACATGTAAAAATGCCCAAAGAATCTAAAAGGGGCTTTTGAGCTGTTCATTGTAAGAATATTCATGACACCCTTACTTTACATAGAAAAGTTTTTAGTAGTCCTTTTTGGGGTCTAGAGGTGTGGAGCCTTCTGAGATAACATTAAGTAGCACAGTGTTGTATGGGGTTTATTATGCAAGTTGAAGAGCCAAGAACATTAGGTCCATTTGTGTCCTGAAGTATCAACAGTGTCTCTTTTTACTCATTATAAAAGAGTCTGTCCTTTTTGTTATGTATGGGTTAGTATATTCCCAAACATTCATATGAGACGCTTTTAATTAGTAAATTGCTTATGATAACAAGGGTTCTTGGAAATCTGTTTTGAATGCATGTGCATGATGAGTGTTTGCATTCAAATTTTGGCAGTGTTTTTGGAAAGAGGAGTTTCCCACTAATTCGGGAGAAGATGCAGTATCATATGATCCAAATAGCCAATTATGGAACATGAATAATGAATCACAATAAGTGACTATCAAAAGCGATAATGGAGATGAGTGATTTATGAGCAATCCATAAGCTGAATTTTAGACCTCAGAAGTATGGTGGTTTGTGGGTTTTTTGTTGTTTTATTTCGGGGGGGCAGTTTCCCTTTAAAATCTACCAATGGATAATATGTGAAGAATAAAGGAGGGTAACTACCTTTAGCATCTTTTTTGCTGCCTATAACTAATGCTACCAAACAGATGTCAAAACAGGCTTGGACCTATAAGTAAGAAGAGGAAAGGATAAACTTTGAGAGAGAGAAATTAATCAACATTTGAGATTTTACAATTAAACAAAACCCGACCAAACAGGAAAAAGTGGTGGGATTTTTAGGGGTGGCTTTATGAAGCTGTTTTCTTACTTTATGCAGGAATAGTGAAGAAGGGTCCAGTTTTATGCTGCAGTAATGCTACAAAGGACATAGAAGAGGCAACACAGTAATTCAGGAAAATAATGTCCCTAAGCCACGTATGTGCCACCCACTTTTACAGCCAGAGTCCTGCTTGATGTACTCTCAGCAGTCTCCCTGGGCTCCTTATAGCAATGGGTAGTATAGAAAGGTCTGATCTTGGCAGCTGCCTAAGGCATAAAACCTACCTGCTTCTATGATAGCAGTTTTCTCTAGACAATTTACAGTGACTTTTTTTAAACCTTCTATGCAGTGCAGATGGGAGAAGAACCTCCTCTTGATTCTTTATAGAGTCTGTTTTTAATCATATTTGCTAGGTAATTATAAATTATTTCCAAAAATGACACTAGGTAAAAACAGTGGGGGATGGCTCTTTTGGACCTATAAATTGAATTAAGACGAAAGAGAATTTAAGTATTTGAGAGGGTACCTTTGGAGTGAATAATACAATATAACCCCTTATAACAAATCCCAGCTTTTAACAGTCCCAATGGCAGGTACTGAGATTTTTATTATTGTGTTGCAACAAAGATCTTATTTAATGAACTTTATTCCCAGTCCCATAAGGTTTTGTAATAATAAAGCTGAAGTTTTAAATTCATTCCAATAGACGTTTGTTTGTTTGTTTTAACCACATTCAGTTGCTCGTGTTTCTAGGTTAGTAAAGGTGGGTATAGAACTAGAACTCTTGAGGATTAAACAAATCCTGTTTTCTTTGCAAATTTAATTGAACTTGAATGAAAAAATGGGAAGAAAAGTAAAATATTAACCAGCATATCCTTCCTATTTTTTTACGTCTGAGTGGTCATATATAACAAAAGTGGCAAGTTTAATTAAGTGTTTGCTGATGGCATACAAAAATTAATTTTGGAGTATATCTTTCTTCCCTGTCTTTATGGCCAAAATTTTCCAATATATTACAGTCTATTAATTAAGATTTTCAGAATGAACACTGTCATTCCTTGTCATTCACAGAACATGTTGGTTTTATACAAAAATACTTGGCTGTGAGCTATATGGATTCCACTTAAATTGTTGTCTGTTAGGAGATAAGTTGATAAACCTCATTAATAAAATAATGTTTTTGCATCCACTTCCATGTGCAATTTGAAAATGTATTCCTGCTTCTCCCAGAGTATTCCTACTGACTTTGACATTAGCGAGTGGATATATTCAGAAGAGAAACTGGTTTTCTGGTTTGTTTTATATTTGGCTAACAACATTTTTATGCATTACTGTCCAGCATCTCTTTAGGTACTTACAACTTGTTGAGAAAAAAGGTTTTTTTGTGGTATCTTTTAGTGAGTTCACTGTATAGTAGGGGTGCACCAATAACAATTTTCTTGGCTGCTACTGATAGCCAATTATTAACCAGCCATATCAGCTGATACCAATTCAATAACTGATTTACAGGAATGCAGCCAGGCTGTGGGGACAGCAATACTGTACAGGTAAGTGTGGAGGGAAAGGGCAGGGGGTAGATTGAGGTCCCCACAGTGAGGGAAGGAGAGGGACTAGGGCTGGGGGCACTGCCCAGCCAAGGCAGTGAATAGGGCCTGGGGCCAGTGTGGGGAGTGGGACAGAGCCACAGGCAGCTTGTCCAGGAGATCAGCGTCCCAGCGCTTAAAAATGGTGATGGGGGCATGTGGCAGGCCACCTTTGGTGCCTGCCACTTTAAGGGCAGAAAACAGGCAGCAGCCAGGTGCCTGATGAGGGCAGCCATTTTGGACCCAGGGATATAAGCTGGGCTGCAGTTTGCTGCAAGAGGAAGGAGGTAACATTAGGCTGAGAGGCTGCTCCAGCCATAGTCAGGAAGTAAGGGCAGGAGCTATGGGGAAGAGATGACCCCTTGTTCTGAGTAAGATGTAAAACTGCACCCTGCTGGGGAAGGGTGGTCTGGTGATGCTCCTAGTGGTGTGGGCGCCCCGAGGAAATGCCAGGCCAGTTACCTCCCTGGTGAAAAGCGGGCCAGGGCAGCTTTATAACCCCAGCCCCACATCCCTGGTGGTGTTCTAACAAGCATGGGGAGCCCAGAGCTTGTTAAGAAGCCCTGAGGCAGAGCTCAGGCCGGAGGAGAGACCTGGGGCCATGCCCAGGCGGTAGCTAAGCCTGAAGCCTGGTGAGGCCGGTTGGGATGAGAGTGGTTCCTAAGCAAGGGCAGTATGACAGAGGCTGGCTGAGAGCCAGCGGAGTGAGTGAGACCCCAGTGAGAGGGGGGTGGCATGTGAATGTTTCTCTGGGGCTGTAGAAGGAGCTACAGCTGTGCCCAGTTTGCCCTGGCCATAGGCCAGAGAAGTAACACCAGAGTAACATCTGTGAGGCATGGGACTCATTGATGGGAGGTTAGAGCGGGTATTAGGCCCTTGTCAGCAGGGCAAGCAATGGGTAGCCTCCAGCCTTAGTAACAACTCTCATATTTTTCCATCAAGGCATGGCAAGTGAAGCTGGCAGTTACCCCAGGAGCAGGGCTGCAAGTAAAGACCTGATGAGGAGGCCACCCTGTTACAAGGCACTTGAACTGAACCACGTCAAATGAGCTTTAGTTCAAGTGCCACCACTGCCATTTTTAAGCGCCAGGACACTTTTAACTGGAGTGGAGCCAAACAGGGCAAGGGCGGGTGCAGGCTGCCTGTTGTGGGCTCGGGGCCCTCTGTTCTGCTCCCTTTGCCCCAGGAGCTCCATGTTGCCTGTGTGTCCCCTGTCTACCTGGTAGCAGGAGGTACAACTTGCTGCCCCCACTGCTGCTGGGCAGGCAGGTTTTACGTAGCCAACATGGGGCCCCCAGAACAATGGCAGCAGAGCGGAGAGCCCCAGGCCCAAGCAGGCAGCCCGTATCCACCCAGTGCACAAATCTGGGGGAGCACATGACCCCCCAGTGTCTCCCCTGGGGAGCGCATGCAGCAATGGGGAGCCTCCCTCTCCCTCCTTGCACCCATGGATGCACCGCCCATGGCTCCATCCTGCCCCTGGCCCCAGGTTCCATTCACCGCCATGGCTGGCCAGCACTTCTAGCCCCAGCCCCTGTCTCATTCTGTCACTCACCATGGGGGCCCCAGACAGAAGGCATATTGTATTTATTGGTGACCTTACTGGCTACACCAGCCAAAAACAAAATGCTGATAGCTGATAATTTTTATTTTCCTTTTATTGGTGCCAATCTGATATGGCACCAATTTATCAGTGCACCGCTACTACATAGTTGTAAAAGAAGTTTGACAGTCTTTCAGGCGCATACTGCTCTTCCTCACATTGGGGCAAGAAGCAGATTTA